AAAAAAAAAAAAAAAAAAGCTAAAAATGGTGACAAAGCCTCCAAAAAGGCCACAAAGATGACTGGCCACCAAGCAAAGATTGAATAAGAGACCCCCCCCCCTTATTGCTGTATTCCTGAAAGGAACAAAATCCACTGACACAGTGTTAATGGAGCTAGCCAGAAGACAACACATTCCTACCATGCTGTAGCTGCGCACGGTGGAACACGCTTCTGGAGCACATAAAACAAGAGTGACAGCAAGATCCAACCAAAATAAAAGCAGCTACGAAACACAGAGACTGCAGACTACACAAAAACCTAGACTCAACCTAGACCTGCTCACCCTAGCACTCCCTYGCTTGCTGACAGATGCACTGTATGCAACGCACATGCAGCACTCGTACAAAAGGGCCCACCATACTATGATCCATGGAGGTATCTGGGGGCCACAAGGAAGCCCATGCACACGGAGATCCCAAGGGGCTGCACAGAGGCCTGTAGGGAATTAATTTCCCCATGTGCATAGAGGTCCAGGGGACTGAACRGAGGCCTTTAGGGCCCCAGTATCCATGTGCACACGCAGGCCCCTGGGGGGGCACATGAAGGCCCGTAGGGTTCCCTCTTCCTCTTGCATATAAAGGTACCTGGGGGCGCACCGAGGCCCATAGGGCCCCATGGTCCCCATTGCACAGAGGGCCTGGGAGTCCTCACAGAGGCTTGTATGTCCCCTATCTTCATGTTCACAGGGACCCCTGGGGGTTGCACGGAGGCCTGTGGGGACCCCCATCCCATGCACATGGAGGCCCCTGGAATCTGCATGTATGTCCCTAGGGACTCCCCAATACCCTTGCATAAGGAGACGCTCAGGGGCTGCAAAGAAGCCCATTCAGCCCCCTGTCTCCTTGCACATGGAGGTCCCTGAGGACTGCATGGAGGCCCATAGAGTCCCCCAACCCTGTTTGCAAGGAGGGCCCAGGAATCTGCATGGAGACCTGTATGTACTGCTGTCCCCGTGTGCACGAAGGTCTCTCGGCATTACACGGAGGACCTCTTGCATACAGAGGTTCCAAGGGGCTGCATGGTAGCCCCTCCTGTCTCTGTGCGCACAAAGGCCCAGCGGAACCATAGGCCCGTAGTGCTCCCCTTCTACATCACATGGAGGTCACTAGGGGCCCACGGAGTCCTGGAGAGGCCCCCTATCCCTGTGCGCATGGAGGCCCCTGGGGAGACAAAAGGGGGGTCCGTAGATACCCCCTATCATCATGCTCACAGAAGCCCCAAGGGGCTGCACGGAGACCAACACACACCCTCTCCCCTCACCACCGTCCCCTTGTATATACAGTACTCTGGGTGTCCCATGGAGGGCCGTAGTGCCTTCCTATCCCCGTCTGCACAGAGGGCTGGGGAGTTTGCACAGAGGCTTGTAGGCAGCCCCATCCCCATGTGTTCAGAGGCTCCTCAGTCCTGCACAGAGGCCTGTAGTACCTCCTCATCCGTGTGTATATGGAGGTCCCAGGGGGCCCTACTGTAGCCTGTAGGAACCCCAGCTCTCCATGGACCAAGCACCAAGACTCCAGGGCGCCTCAAAAAGGCCCATATGCGCCCCTCGTCCCTGTGCACATGGAGGCTCTGGGGGCCGCATGGAGACCAATAGGGGCCCCCTGTCCTTGTGCTCACAGAGGCCCCACGGGGCCACAAGGACACCCATATGGATCCCCTGGTCCCCATGCACATGAAAGCCCTGGGATCTTGCACAGATGCCCACAGGGACTGCCCATCCCCTAGCATACCAGGGGGCTGCACRGTGACCTGTAGGAACGCCCTGTCTCTGTGTGTATGAAGGTTCCAGGGACCACTAAAAGGCTCATAAAGGCCTCCATTCCCTTGCCCACATAGGCTGCTGAGGTCTGCATGGAGTCCTGTAGGGCCTCATCATCACCATATACATGGAGGTCCCTGGGGGCTGCATGGAGGCCCGTAGGGCCTCCCCATCTCCGTATGCACAGTGGCCACACGGAGGCCACACGGCCGTCCAGAGGCCTGTCCCTCAGCATTTCTCATATCATGTGCTTTTTCCCTCTCTTCTCTGTTACTCTTCCATTCTTTCTCTCCCTCTCTCTCCCATTCTCTTCCTCCTGTTTTCTTGCTTTTCTTTTTTATCTGCTATCCTTTCTCCTTCTGTCCCTCTCTTTGGCCCTAGGTCCCCTCTCTTTCATTCTCTTATACTTTCTCTCCCCATATTTTTTTCTCTCATTCTCCCTTTTTCTTTCCATCCGTTTCTCTTTCTACTGTCCCCCATCACCCCTGGTGACCCCATTCACCCCCACACTCTCTGATCCTGCATGTCCCCACTCGCCCTGTGTCCAGGGAGGGCAGAGCAGTAGAGGAGCACTATGGCCATGCCTGGAGTGAGTCCCCCAGAGCACAGATGTGGTCAATGCCTTCCCTGTGTGGGTGGAACTTCACTGTCCTCCAGCCTTGGTGTGCTGGGCCTCCTCAGCGTGAAGCACTGAGGCTGCTGCCTGCTGTGTGCAGGGGGCCTTGGCATGCTGCCACCTCTGCAGAGACGCAAGAACAGTGCAAAGAGGCACCGTGAGTRCTTGGCAGAGGTGTGCCCCATGGTGCCCAGCCAAGACCCTGGAGGTCATGCAAGCTTCCCGTGTCCATGCTCCTCCCCTGCATTTGGGAACTAGAGTTCCCAGCCCAGCATCCACAGGGCCTCTGCTTCCCTGCCCATCCCACAAGGCAGGAGCTCAGTGGTCATCAYCTACCTCCCACCAGGAATGTCAGGTCCTGCTGCTGCAGCCACTTGGCTGGCGCGTTGTCCACAAGGATGCCTGGCACATGGAATCATACAATCATTATGGTTCGAAAAGACCTTCAAGATCATCAAGTGCAACTACAAAACCATCCCCTCCATGTCTGCTAAACCATCTCCTTATGTGCCTTAACTACCCATTTCTTGAACACCGCCAGGCATGGGGCTTCCATCACTGCCATGGGCAGCCTGTTTCAATGCTTCAACACTCTTTTTATATAGAAATTTGTCCTAAGATCTAAAGTGAATCTCTCCTGGTGCAAATTGAGGCCATATCCTCTTGTCCTAACAGCAGTTATTTTAGAGAGGACCAACACCCACCTCACTACAACCTCCTTTYGGGTAATTGTAGAGAGCCATAAGATCTCCCCTGAGCACCAAGAAAACAGCCCTAGCCCAAACCCTGATCTCAGCCTTGGAACACGTCCCTTACTGAGGGAGCACTGTGAGATCCCAGAGCTGCCACACACCCAGGACAATGGTGGCTGACACCCGCGAGGCCTCATAGCTCCCCACACAGCAGTTGCGGGCCGTGCTGAAGAGCCTCTCCAGCAGTGCGGGGCAGTCTTGTGCCTGGGGCAAAGCAGGCACATGGGAGCTCATCTCTGACTGCAAAAGCCCCTTCACCCACCAGCCACCAAAGAGCCTCATGGCACAAGAGCCAAGGGACGCCTGGCTGTACAGACATGGCCCCAGTGCACAGCTCACTCGCCAGGTGTCTGCAGACCTCGTCCTGCAGCTTGGCTACGTTCAGCCCAACACTAGCGGTGATACGCCCCTGCAACATCTTTGATGGCAGAAATGGGGCACACAGGTGCAGGGTGATATTGCATGCTTGGTAAAGAACATTGGACCCTGTCATACAACTCCTCATCAGCCAGGCTTTGCAGGGAAGAACCTTGCTGTGGCGGTGTCAGCGAGGCTCTGCAGAGACAGGAGCAGCACCACGGCTCTGTTGGTGCCACGTGGCTTCCTGCGTCTATGCAAGGCACTTGGGGGGCTCTTACATTGGAGACATCTGGGGCTGGGTCCTGGAGGGGCAACACGAGCCTTAGAAATATTTCCTCTGCCTCTTTGCTGAAAAATGCCCTCCTCCTCCAAGCACACAATGCCAGGGCCCCACAGAGGAGAAAGGCTGAGCAAGAGAGCACCTCTGCCTCCTGCGATTGAGAAAGGCCATCAAGCAGGTTGATAAGGAGCGTGCTGCACATACAGCACTCAGCACCAGCGGGGTACTGCTCGCAAGGACTACAGCCCCAGGATGCGTCTTGCCTGCTGAACATCTCAACAAGCAATGTCACTTATCACCCCCAAGAATGCTCGGGTGGACCTGACAATCTCTTCTAAGGCAGAGCCCATGGCCGTTGCCTTCAGCTGCCCCAGCACCTTTSCCAGCACCTGCAGGCTCTCGGCAACCACCTCCACACTTTTCCCATCCTCCCGGCCCCTGAGCGGTATGTCCAGCACAGCTGCCCTGTGCCTCCACAGCTGCAGAGAGATGCTTTGCAGCTTGAGCTGCTCACTATTCCCTGCCTCCCATGGCTGCCCTTCACCACCGCACCAAGGGCTGTGCTCACTAGAGCAAGCCCAGAGCAAACCCCAGGCCTGTGAGCCCTAGCTTGCACTTAGTGTCCCCTTTGCCTAGTGGAGGCAGCCAAGCCACCAAAGGGCATTGATTAAGAGCTTGGGGCATGTGTCCCATGGGAAGAGAGTGAGTATGTTAGAATCAGAATCATAAAATATTAATGGGCAGGAAAGACCTTCAAGATGATCAGGCCCAAATGATAATCCATCACCTGGGGAAGATGAGTTAATTAAGGTGAAACCTCTAATTATTCCAGAGAAGAGACTGACCCCTGTCTCACTTCAACCGCCTTTCAGGTAGTTATATAGAGCAAGAAGCTGTCTACATGTGAAAAGCAACAATCTCTCTCCATGATTATAGAGGGTTCTCTTTCACCCCTCCTGGGAAACCTGCAGGCTCGATTACCTCCCTGAAATGCCTGTATACCAATGCGCAAAGCATGAGGAATTAGCAGGACAAACTGGAGATCTGTGTGCAGTCCCAGCATTACAGTCTCATGGGAATCACAGAAACGTGGTGGGATAGCTCACATGACTGGAGTGCTGTCATGGAGGGCTATGTGCTCTTTGGGAAGGACAGGCTGGGAAGGCGAGGTGGCGGAGTTGCTCTGTATGTGAGAGAGCAACTGGAATGTATGGACAAATGGTCCTGGAGGTTTCTGCAGTGTGTTGATGACAACTTTTGGGCACAGGTTGTGGAGGAGCCAATGAGGAGAGGTGAGCTACTGGACCTCCTGCTAACAAACAGAGAGGGACTTGTTGGAGATGTGAAGGTGGGGGGCAGCCTTGACTGCAGTGATCATGAGTTGGTGGAGTTCAGAATGCAACAAGGAGGAGGCAGGGCAGTAAGTAGCCTTGCAACCCTGGACTTCAGGAGGGCCAACTTCAGTCTCTTTGGAGACCTCCCTGGAAGGATCTCATGGGCTCTAGAAGGAAGAGGGGCCCAGGAGARCTGGTTAGTTTTCAAGCGGCTCTTCCTCCACGCCCAGCAACAGTGCATTCCTGTGCGTAAGAAGTCAGGCAGAGGGGGCAGGAGACGTGCGTGGATGAGCAAGGACCTTGTGGCAATTCTCAAGTGGAAGGTGGCAGTGTACAGAATGTGGGAAAAAGGATAGGCCACTTGGGGGAAATATAAGAACGTCATCAGGGATCACAGAGATGCCACCAGGAAAGCTAAGGTGTGTTTGGAATGTAATCTGGCAAGTGATGTTAAAAATAACAAGAAAAACTTCTTCAAATATATTAACAACAAAAGGAAGGTCAGGGAAAGCATGGATTTGCTGGTGAAAGGAAACTCAACACCCAGAAATCCATGGGCCCTGATGGGATGAACCCCAAAATGCCGCGTGAGCTGACAGATGTCATAGCTAAGCTGCTTTTCATCATCTTTGAAATGTCATGGAGAATGGAGGAAGTGCCAGAGGACTGGAAGAAAGCCAACATCATGCTGATCTTCAAAAAGGGCAAGGCATCTACAGGCCAGTGAGTCTCACCGTCATCCCTGGAAAAATGATGGAACAGCTCATCCTGGCTGTTGTCTCCAGACACATGGAGGAGAAGAAGGTGCTCAGGAGCAGCCAGCATGGATTCACCAAGGGGAAATCATGCTTGACTAACCTGATAGCCTTCTATAATGGAGTGGCTGGCTGGATAGATGAGGGCAAAGCGGTAGATGTCGTCTATCTGTACTTCAGCAAAGCTTTTCACACCGTCCCTCACAACATCCTSCTGGGCAAGCTTCAGAAGTGTGGGATAGATTGAGATTGGGATAGATAGTTGAGGGTGAGGTGGATTAGGAATTGGCTCAATGGCAGGTCTTGGAGGTGATCAGTGGTGCAGAGTCACGTTGGAGGCCTGTGGTTAGCAGTGTCCCCCAGGGAACAGGATCCTTCCGATCCTGTTCAACGTACTCATTAACCAGCTGGATGAAGGGATGGAGTGCTCCCTCAGCAAGTTGGCTGATGATATGAAACTGGGAGGAGTAGCTGATATCCCTGAGGGCTGTGCTGCCATCCAGAGGGACCTGGGCAGACTGGACAAGTGGGCAGTGAGAAAACTCATCAAGTTCAACAAGGGAAAGTGCAGGGTCCTGCACCTGGGGAGGAATAACCTCAAACACCATTACAGGCTGAGAACTGACCTTCTGGAGAGCAGCTCTGCAGAAAGGGACCTGGGCATCATGGTGAACGACAAGTTAACCATGAGGCAGCAGTGTACTCTTGTGGCCAGAAAGGCCAATGGGATGCTGGGGTGCATTAAGAAGGGCATCTCCAGAAGGCTGAGGGAGGTGATCGTCCCCCTTTACACAGCCCTGGTGAGGCCACATCTGGAGTATTGTGTGCAGGTCTGGGCTCTGCAGTACAGGAGGGATGTGGAGCTGCTGGAGAGAGTCCAGCATAGGGCTACAAAGATGATTAGGGTCCTGTAACATCTGTCCTATGAGGAAAAGCTACGAGAGCTGGGCCTGTTCAGCTTCAAAAAGAGAAGGATGAGAGAGCGTCTAATCAGCATATATAAATAACTTAAGATAGGGAGTGAGGAGGATGGGGCCAGCCTCTTTTCAGTGGTGGCCAGCAATTGGGCTAGAGGAAATGGCCACAAATTGAAGCACGAGAAGTTCCACAGGAACTTAAGAAAAAATCTAATCACACTGAGGGTGACAGAGCACTGGAACAGGTTGCCAAGTGAGGTTGTGAAGTCTCCATCTTTGGAGATCTTGCAAACCTGCTTGGACGAAACCCTGTTCCACATGCTCTAGGTGACCCCGCGTGTGCAGGGGGATTGCACTAGACAACCTCTAGAGGTCATCCTCTAACCTTAATCCTTCTAACCTTAAGCAGTCTGTGATTCTATGATCCCAACTCTGGGATTTGAAAGGCCTCCCTTGAGATTGGCCTCACTGTGCTAAGCCCTGCCTTGGCACAGAGCTAACACCAGAACACCTGCCTGCTTTTGAGCCACAAAGAGCTCAGAGGGACAAGGTCGGGGCAGATCTTCCCAGAGGCAGGATGATGCGACAAGGGAACTACATGGCAAAGGGGCAGACAAAATAGAAGCAGCTTTGAGGAAAGTTTCTAGGGTGAAAGTGCCTGTGGAAGAGCCCCCTTAGCTTTCTTCCCCTAAAAGGAGAAAAATCTAACACTCTCCCTGGCACTGTACARCTCTCACTTGTTCATTCCGGGCAAACGAGCACATCTTGGTTTTGGAGACTCTTTGTGACAGCAACTRCATTTGTTCACAGCGGCCTGGCYCAGCCMAGCCCAGCTCRGCCCACTGTTGCTGTCCTCAAGTGCTACACWCCTGCCTCATARACCTCCAGGTGTGCMCTCTCACTCAGGMAATACAGCARAGGCACAAGCAGGCAGGTCATGGTACCAGTGTCCCTAACCTAGGTGTTGTGTGCAAGCTGATGACGTGGCAGAGGTGTCAACAGGCACTGAGCGTGAAACAGAGACACTCTGGCCACTGTTTGATGCTCTCAGAARTGGAAAGTGTGTGAAACGTGGCTCAACTTCCAGCCACGCAGAGTGCCAACGAGGCAAGCAAGGCACAAACACAAAGCACTTGGCAACCACCTTGCCCCTGGGCATCTGGTTGGCATGACTCTCACAATACAACAACATTCCTAAGTCCCCATCCTTGGAGCTCTTCCGTGTCTCCTGGCAATCGTAGAAGGCTGTGGCCTGTGGAAGGTCTTAGATCATGTCTCTTCCAGGTGGATCCCAAACTCTGAGCCTCATGTTTCTTTTGAGGATGGGGCTGGCTTCAGAGAATCCCAACTGCCCGAGCAGGTGCAGTTGTTGGGATCTGGAAGTGAACTGCACAGGGCAACAGTTGTAGGAGTGCGCAGTGACCATGCACCAGTTGCAGGAGTGTCCTCGCTGGCTACAAGGCAGCTCATTGTGGCAACAAGCAACATCTCCTAGCCGCCTGCATGGAACGGAGCTTCCTCACTGACCTGCTTTATATCCTTATCTATCTCTTGGCTGGGGGATCTGGACRTTAGCCGGACTGCCTTACTCTGCCTGGACACCACCACTGTCCRTGACCTGCCCAAATGGAGCTTTCTGGAACTCGGGGACAACATTGGGCTCTGCCTGCACATACCTCATTTGCTACCTCACAAAGCTGCACTGTGCCCTTTCTCCTACTTCTTGGTCATTCTGCTTTAGCATACACACCCAGCGGCTTCTGCTATTCACAGCTTGGAGTGGAGTGGCTACGTGGAGTACAGCACATGGGACTGTGCCCACCCTCGAAAGGCTTCCCTGTTGCTTCCCAGAGCAGCCTTCCTCTACTTGAGAGCAGTTTTATGATCGATTTCTTGCCCAAAAGTCTGCAAAAGCCATCTCTCCAATCTGCCACGTGGCAGTCAACCATCCCAGGCAGTAGCCTCACGCAGAGCTCAAGATCCCATGTTTGCAGGCTGTTTGCGGTCTTACATGGGGGAGGCTCAATGATGTAGGCATGTCTTTGATACATGAGCATCTGCACCACAAAGGAGACAGCCCTCAGAGTCCACGCTCTTTGTGGTGGCTTTTTCCCAATGCTGACTCGGACAGAGGCAGTGAGGGGAGAGACAATTCTTTGAACTGCTTTACAGCCCTTCTAGACTCTCTAAAAGGATCATAGTTTCACTGATGGCTTCCCCACAGACTAGCTTACTACATAAATCACCAGGCCCCAGACACTCCTCACACGCCCTCGGCATCCTCTTGCAGTGTTCTGCCTGGAGCTACAGTGGAACCACAGACCACAGACACCATGGTATGATTTAATTATTTAATTCTTCAGGAGGCATCCTTATGCGGCAGTGCTGGTGGCTTCAGCAAATACCTGCAGCTGCAATCTTCTGGCTCTGCTTCAAGCACAGGAGGAAAACGCGGTGCTCTCTTCAGCCACAGATCTTTCACGGGGCCCTTTGCTGTGAACCACAACTCCTAAGGAAAAATTAAAAAAATAAAAAGCCAAAGTGATATTTGATAAGACCAGGAGAGCCCTGGACCTGTCTGGCAAAGGAAGCAAAGCCTTTAGGAAACCCGCAGGAGCTTGTTCCATCCCTCAACCCGCTTGCCATAGTGCAAAAGCCCATCAGGGAGGGCAAGGAGAGAGCAAGAAAATGAAGACTGCTAAGCTCCCACAAGTGGCTGAAGGCAGAGGCAAAGATTCAACTATACCACTCTCCAGCCCAGCCACGATACCGTGATAGGGCATGCTGCTCCTCCACCCACRAAGCAACTCAAGGGCAAGGAGCATCAACTTACAGTGCTCATCTCCAGCCAGGTCTTCTCCAGAAGGTTGCCATGCACCTTACTGGCTTGGAGGGCCTGGTCGAGGCATGAAAGGCTCTCTCCTTTCTTCCCCAGCATGTGCCAAAGGTAGGCTCGCAGGTGGTGCACTCTGGGGTAGAAGACCGGGCATGCGAAGCAGCGAGAGAGAACCTCTTCTGCAAGCTACCGAGAGAACAAGGGAGAGGCACATCAGGAGAAGGCATGGAGCTCCATTACAGCATCTCTACATGTAGATGGGTAGATTGTCCACAAACAGAAAAGCAGCTGCAAAGCAACAAGGAGCGCACAGCTGGCATTGCCGACCAACTGCACAAAGCTCGAGGGAGCCACAAGCCGTCCTTGGGAGCACGCATGTCAGCAGGGCTCACTAGCTCTAGTGGCTATGGAAGTCTTCTCCTCTCTTRCGGGCCATTCGCATAACGGCATTCTCACATGCCCAGGAGAMCCCTTTGCTCCACTGCCTTCTCTTCCACCTCTTGCTGAGATGCTTGCTGAGAGGAGCCTTTTGCCACGCTCTTCTCTAACCCACTCTGCCTCTGCCCTGGCTCYATCCCACGTGGCCTTGTTAGGCCATGGCASCTCTCCCTGCGCTCCCTCACAGCACATCCCTTTCCTCCTCTCCCCTCACCTTTAAAGCCTCTCGGCTGCTCTCCCGGGCCCTCGACGAGCTGTGCTCCAGGTCATTTTTCAGCACCAGGATGTAGCACTCCAGCAGCCGCGTGCGTGCTTGYGTAGCACAAAAGGAGCCGTCGCCTCTCCTCAGCAGCTGCTTGGCCTTTTCAAAGGGCTGCTGGAAGCTGTCCCACTGGCCAAGCCTCGCAAACCTACATCGTGCACACACAAACAGRCACACATTGTRTAGAGATGAGCAGGAATCTTGGGCTGTCTTCTGGGCTGTCTGCTGCTCCCCTTGCTTCCAATGCATGGCCCCTCCCCATCAGTCCCTTTCATTGCAACACCCCAGGAACAACCACCATGCTGGATGTGGGACAGGGGGCAYGACAAACSCACAGCTCCCATCTCCCCTGCCACAATCACTCCCTCRTGGGGGCCTCTTGMCACTCCACTCAAAGCAAGGCCGTAACRTACCAAAGAGCCAGAGATGAATACAGCCGCAGCAGGATGCTCTTCTGAGATTTGAGGGTGCAGTTCTCTTCATTGCACTCTATGAATCTCCTGCACTCTTCAAATGACTTGTACTCCCAGCCTGTGGAGTACATACGTATCTCAGAGAAGCAGTTCTGCCCTCCACTGCCT